ACCTAAGGACTCATCCCACCTTGGACAGCCCCTTTAACCCAATTGCTCCCCCCCCCGAAAAAAAAATTGAAAAGGATATCCCACTGGCTATAGGTGACGCACAATTGGTGAGTCGTCTGGTAAGAGCTCGCTAAATGACGTAAATGTGCCCTTGAGCAAGGCACTTACCCTAATTGCTCCTGTAAGTCGCTCTGGATAAGAGCGTCTGCTAAATGACTAAAATGTAAATGTAAATGTAATGTATTTAGTCAGCCACCAATTGTGCAAGTTCTCCCACTTAAAAAGATGAGAGAGGCCTGTAATTTTCATCATAGGTACACGTCAACTATGACAAACAAAATGAGAAAAAAAAATCCAGAAAATCACATTGTAGGATTTTTAATGAATTTATTGGCATATGATGGTGGAAAATAAGTATTTGGTCAATAACAAAAGTTTCTCAATACTTTGTTATATACCCTTTGTTGGCAATGACACAGGTCAAAACGTTTTCTGTAAGTCTTCACAAGGTTTTTCACACACTGTTGCTGGTATTTTGGCCCATTCCTCCATGCAGATCTCCTCTAGAGCAGTGATGTTTTGGGGCTGTCGCTGGGCAACACAGACATTCAACTTCCCTCCAAAGATTTTCTATGGGGTTGAGATCTGGAGACTTGGCTAGGCCACTCCAGGACCTTGAAATGCTTCTTACGAAGCCACTCCGTTGCCCGGGCGGTGTGTTTGGGATCATTGTCATGCTGAAAGAACCAGCCACGTTTCATCTTCAATGCCCTTGCTGATGGAAGGAGGGTTTCACTCAAAATCTCACGATACATGGCCCCATTCATTCTTCCTTTACACGGATCAGTCGTCCTGGTCCCTTTGCAGAAAAACAGCACCAAAACATGATGTTTCCAACACCATGCTTCACAGTAGGTATGGTGTTCTTTGGATGCAACTCAGAATTCTTTGTCCTCAAACATGACGAGTTGTGTTTTTTACCAAAAAGTTATATTTTGGTTTCATCTGACCATATGACATTCTCCCAATCCTCTTCTGGATCATCCAAATGCACTTCAGACGGGCCTGGACATGTACTGGCTTAAGCAGGGGGACACGTCTCGCATTGAGGATTTGAGTCCCTGGCGGCGTAGGTGTGTTACTGATGGTTGGCTTTGTTACTTTGGTCCCAGCTCTCTGCAGGTCATTCACTAGGTCCCCCCGTGTGGTTCTGGGATTTTTGCTCACCGTTCTGGTGATCATTTTGACCCCACGGGGTGAGATCTGCGTGGAGCCCCAGATCGAGGGAGATTATCAGTGGTCTGTATGTCTTCCATTTCCTAATAATTGCTCCCACAGTTGGTTTTCTTCAAACCAAGCTGCTTACCTATTGCAGATTCAGTCTTCCCAGCCTGGTGCAGGTCTACAATTTTGTTTTTGGTGTCCTTTGACAGCTCTTTGGTCTTGGCCATTGTGAAGTTTGGAGTGTGACTGTTTTGAGGTTGTGGACAGGTGTCTTTTATACTGATAACAAGTTCAAAACAGGTGCCATTAATACAGGTAACGAGTGGAGGACAGAGGAGCCTCTTAAAGAAGAAGTTACAGGTCTGTGAGAGCCAGAAATCTTGCTTGTTTGTAGGTGACCAAATACTTATTTTCCACCATAATTTGCAAATAAATTCATTAAAAATCCTACAATGGGATTTTCTGGATTTTTTTTCTCAATTTGTCTGTCATAGTTGACGTGTACCTATGATGAAAATTACAGGCCTCTCTCATCTTTTTAAGTGGGAGAACTTGCACAATTGGTGGCTGACTAAATACTTTTCTTCCCCACTGTATATTTACAATTTTTGAGTGTGTGATATGGGGGTTGGAGACATGTTTATTTTGACATTACAAAGAAAAACTTCTATAAACAATCGCAACACTGCCATGTTGCACGGAGCCTTGCTGTAGGTAAACCAGAACCATAGAGATAGATAGGAGACTCATCTTTGTATCTGTGCCATCATAGCACCTGTGACAGTATGGGCAGAGCCATTGAGGGAATCTCCATTTTGAAGTAGTCCATTTTCTTCTTCACTATTGGCTGATCCTCCCCTGATGACTCCAACAAGTTACAAGTTGGAAGTCCCACCCCAGTTGACTACATTAAAATGGTGGAAGCCCTCAATGGCTCTGCCCATGGTAATATGCCTTTTGGCCACTAGAGGCCTCTATCATTCTCTATGACCACAACACTGTCTGACTTTCAGCTGTCGCAGACACATCTCCCCCGACTTCACTCGTTGACTTTCGTCTACAGTCAGCTGCGTTAGTGCAGAATATTGCCTGGCTGCCCTACATACACAAACAGCATGAGGATATCTTGATGCATTGTGGAAATATCAACACAGATGAACAATAGGCAGAAATATGAACTATGAATATTAATTATTACTTTTTGGTAGCTGGTTAATAGACAATGTTCCAAGTCAAATTTACTCCCATTCAATACTTCCAAAATGTGGTCCTGAGGCCCCCCCTGGGTGCACGTTTTGGTTTTTGCCCTAGCACTACACAGCTGATTCAAATAACCAACTCATCATCAAGCGTTGATTATTTGAATCAGCTGTGTAGTGCTAGGGAAAAACCAAAACATGCAACCAGCCCCCCCCCCCCAAGTTTGGGAAACCCTACTGTATGGTACTTCCTGACAAAAAGTTGTTTAGTGTTATGGCTCTAAGGAAAACAAAGGGCCCCAGACTCAGAAACTGAAAAGTTCTGTTTTTCTTCCCCAGTCAAAGGCTCCTTAGTTTATTCAGGGCATGGAGAGTTATTGAGCCTCGGTGGCCACCCTGGATTTTGCCCCAAATCCAATATAGTGTCCAAAATCCAATATGGCTGCCATAATACCATTTGATGGGGGGTTTAATCACCTGTAAATGAGTTTTGCAAATAAGATACATCTTTTAGAATGGCGTACTATACTTATGACATTTACAACTATTCTGGTGTAATTCAACTCTATTGGGAATCCAATATGGCCACCATCATTACACTCAGTTCCAATTAGTGCCAAAACCATACAAACACTGCCTAATACAGATTTTATTTAGAGGCAAAATATATGCTCCAGTATGAAAGTGAAAATTCTGGGGTTGGGGTGGACACACACACACACACAACACACACACACACACACACACACACACCACACACACACACACACACACACACACACACACACACACACAGGGGTTAAGATAGATAGACGATCCCCTTCAAAAGGAAGCCATCTTGCCGTGAACCCGGAAGCGGTACACACAGGTGTAGTCCTGGTGACCCCAGTTGCTGAGGACATGGAGCTCCACATACCGATACACTGCAGTAGGGTTCTGAGAAAAAAAAAGTCAGAGTGAGAAGAGGGTGAGAGAGGTCCAAGCTTATTGACTTTTGAGATAAGTCTTAATGCATACACATTAGGCCCCAAAAGGTATTTCTACCTGTCTCATTAGCCTGTATCTTTACTATGTATCACTACCTGTCTCATTAGCCTGTATCTTTACTATGTATCTCTAATAGTTTGTCAGCATTGGACTCACAGGCAATTTGAATGTCTGGAGGGGATCTCCAGCCTGGTCATATGTAAACATTCCGAGCAGTGTTTCCCTCTTCGCTGACAGTAGACATGCCCTACACAGAAAGCGAGTGGGGAAAAAGTGAGGGAGTCAATTAAAAGGTATTCTACATAGCACTAAAACATCCCTGTACAAATCATCCCACTGTAGATTCTATGTGGTACAAGAAAGGAAAGAGCCTCAGAGTTGGAGTGCTGAACAGGGAAGGAAAGGGTCCCCCCCCCCCCCCACACTCAGAGACTTTGTGAATACAGGCCCTCAGAGGTGACTCACGTAGACGGCGAAGTCCTTGGGGGCACTGTCGATGCGTCCGTTAGGGGAGACGGCGGTGGAGAGGTGCTCCAGAGAGACATGGGTCACGTGGATGGGGTGAGACAGGGCGATGGTCATAGTGCCCTGGGCCCCAGGAAACGGCCAACACTTGCCAGGCAGCACCTGCTGGCCCTGAGGGGGTGAAAGATGAGTGACAGGTGTATTTGGATCAGTCTTTAACCCTCTAGAGCAGTGTTTTCCAACCCTGGTCCTCCAGTACCCCCAACAGTACACTGTTTCGTTATAGCCCTGGACAAGCACACCTGATTCAGCTCATTGAGGGCTTGATGATTAGTTGACAAGTTGAATCAGGTGTGCTTGTCCATGGTTACAATACATTTGTTGTTATTGTTGGGAGGACCTGGGTTGGGAAACACATCTAGAGTCTAAGGCCTGTCTAAGCCAGCGGTGAGGTTGGGGGGGAGGGGGGGGGGTCGGTTCTACTAAGCCAACATATGGAATTGTTTTTAAGATGGTCATACCAAGGATTATTTAGATATTTGATTTTGAGGTCAGGGCTCTGTGCAGGCCAGTCAAGTTCTTCCACACCGATCTTGACAAACCATTTCTGTATGGACCTCGCTTGTGCACGGGGGTATTGTCATGCTGAAAAGGGCCTTGCACAAACTGTTGCCACAAAGTTGGAAGCACTAGAATCGTCTAGAATGTCATTGTATGCTGTAGCGTTAAGATTTCCCGTCACTGGAATTAAGGGGCCTAGCCCGAACCACGAAAAACAGCCCCAGACCATTATTCCTCCTCCACCAAACTTTACAGTTGGCACTATGCATTGGGGTAGGTAGTGTTCTCCTGACACCCGCCAAACCCAGATTAGTCCGTCGGACTGCCAAATGGGTGAAACGTGATTCATCACTCCAGAGAACGCATCTCCACTGCTCTAGAGTCCAATGGCGGCAAGTTTTACACCACTACAGCCAACGCTTGGCATTGCGCATGGTGATCTTAGGCTTGTGTGCGGCTACTCGGCCATGGAAACCCATTTCATGAAGCTCCCGACAAACAGTTATTGTGCTGACGTTTCTTCCAGAGGCAGTTTGGACCTCGGTACGCGCTTCAGTACACGGTCCCGTTCTGTGAGCTTGTGTGGCCTACCACTTCGCGGTTTGAGACGTTGTTGCTCCTAGATGTTTCCACTTCACAATAACAGCACTTACAATTGACTGGGGCAGCTCTAGCAGGGCAGAATTTTGACAAACTGACTTGTTGGAAAGGTGGCATAATAATAATAATAATATGCCATTTAGCAGACACTTTTATCCAAAGCGACTTACAGTCATGCGTGCATACATTTTAGTGTATGGGTGGTCCCGGGGATCGAACCCACTACCTTGGCGTTTACAAGCGCCGTGCTCTACCAGCTGAGCTACAGAGGACCATCCTATGACGGTGCCACGTTGAAAGTCACTGAGCTTTTCAGTAAGGCCATTCTACTGCCAATGTTTGTCTATGGAGATTGCATGGCTGTGTGCTCGATTTTATACACCTGTCAGCAATGGGTGTGGCTGAAATAACAGAATCCACTCATTTGAAGGGGTGCAGTGGTCTAAGGCACTGCATCGCGTGGTTCGAATCCAGGCTCTGTCGTAGCCAGCCGCGACCGGGAGACCCATGGGGCGGCGCACAATTGGCCCAGTGTCGTCCAGGGTAGGGGAGGGAATGGCTGGCAGGGATGTAGCTCAGTTGGTAGAGCATGGCGTTTGCAATGCCTTGGTTGTGGGTTCAATTCCCACGGGGAGCCAGTATGAAAAATTACAAAATGTATGTATGCACTCACTAACTGTAAGTCGCTCTGGATAAGAGCGTTTGCTAAATGACTAAAATGTAAAAAATTTAGTGTATAAAAATATAAAAAAACAGAACATCATCGTGTTTGTGAGAGTCTCATAATAATTTGCCACCTTTCACCGCAGATGCGGAAGGGCGATATCGGTGGATGTGGTGGATTGAGACGCAGCCCATACAAAGAAACAAATATCTCTAGCTTAAACAGATGGATTTAGATGGGAATTTTTGTATTATGTTAATTAGATTTCCGCAGGCCACGGAAATTGTAGGAGAATGGTTAACCTGCATTTAAACATGGTGGTCAAGACGACACACTTCAGAAAGAGAGATATAGGATGACACAAAGGGAGAGAGAGGTACCAACCTGGATGACAGTCCGGGGGGTCTCTTCAGGATACCACAGGGGAATCCCCAGGAAGCTCACGCAGGCCGAACGGGTGTGATACGTCTCAGAGCATCTGCTGGTTACAATACTGCCACCTACACACACACACACACGATACTGTAGTCTATAAAGCATCCACACGTGCTGGGACTATTTCTGTGGCACATACGGAAAACATGCTGAAGTACAGTGATGTCACAAACCTTGAGACTCCAAGGCAAAGTCAGGCAGTCGGTCCGCTAACGGACGACTGCAATCCTTTATCACCCGTTTCATGTCCCATCTCTCATCCTGTGAGACACAGACAGACACACAATCACACATGCACGGTCAACTTTAAAAACGCATCACATCTTCTGTTTATTTTACAAGAAAATAAATAAACCCACCTGGGCCAGTTGGTCACGCAGCCATTTCTCCATGGCCTCTTTAAAATCAGGTGTCAGGTGTATGTTTTCTGGTGTGGGAGCAGGGGGAGGCTGGTTTTGAATGGTGGTCACCTGTTGCTGCAGCTAGAGAACACACAGAGATCACGCATATTAGGAGAAGTGTGTGTGTGTATGTGTGTGTGTGTGTGTGCACGTGTGCCTGCGTGTACGTGTGTGTTACCGTATCACTGGTGTCCTCCAGGGCTCTGACCCTCTGTGTGGTAATGGACTGTTCCTCTTGGAGATCAGCCATCTTGCTGCCGAACTCGGCAGCGTCCTGGGCCAGACGCTCTCCAGCAGTAGAGACAGCAATAGAGACACTACAATAAAATAGAATGAAACAACACAAAACAAATGTATTTTCTATTTTGGGAGAAACAGATATTTGTCTTCTAGAATAGAATACAACATAACTTTTGTCTTGTTTTTTTATGGGGTAGGAGCTAGGGACTATATGGGTAGTTTCAGGACTGGTCCACACTCACCTGTTCCCTTTCCCTCTGACGTTGTTCATCTCGCTCCTTACTCCCCTCATGTCGATATTGAGTCTTTGTACCATCTGTTGGTGGACACAAACACAATTCAATTGAATAAACTTTATTAATTCCAGAAGGGCAATTATTGACACCACATCTCAATTGACAAACTGGCAATACTACAGCAACAAATAGAAAATAATCCCAGGTACTTCCACTACAAAGGGATAGATTGACTATTCTCACCTGGGAAATGCCTCGGTGCTGGTGTGCTTTCTGTTTAAGAATTTCAATCTCTCTCTGCAAGACAAGCACATGGACAGATAAATTAATATGGCCAAACATTTTGTGCATTCTCTCTCCACCCCCCCTCTCTCTATTTTGTACCTGGATGTTGTCCATTTTGTCTTCAAGAGCTGAATCCATGATAGAAGTTCCATACTGTAGAAAGAGTTTTAACTAGTCAACCAGAGTGTTGCCCATGCATAGCTTCATTGCAGCATTCACCCAATCAAGACATAGATAACACAGTCTGCCCCAAATGGCACTCTATTCCCTATGTAGCGCACTACCTTTGACCAGAGCCCACATAAGTGGGCCACTATATAGGGTATAGTGTGCCATGTGAGACGTCACCAGAAGACAGATGAAAAACAGAGGTCCTACTGTAGCCTTTGATGTCAGGTCGGGCGGAGAGTCAGGTTGAGTCGGCCGGTTCATTGGAAGGTTGAGGTTCATGGTGGGGAACACGGTCGGAAAGACAAATACTGCAGGGAAGACATTGTGGTTCGGGTCACACAGAGGACAGATTTATAGGAGGATATTTAGATGTGTGAACATGAACGTTACGTCACACTCACGGAAGGTCAGGAGAACGGGCAGGAGGAAGAGGAAGATGACAAACCAGGATGGCAAACCAGTCGGGAAACATGAACGGCCTACAGGGAGACACACAGAGCCAAAGATAATGCTAATGCTAACAAACAAGGCAAAAGCAAAGCGACGAGCTAATGCTAAACTAATGCTGACAAATTTCAAGCAGAGAGACACGCATAAATTAAAAAGGCCCTTAAATTGAAAATTGAATTGAGACACACTGATGCTAAGCTAATGCTAACTAACCAGCTTTTTTTATCTTCTTATTTTTTACAAGCATATAAAGACATGCAAATGCCAAGCTAGTGTTGTCTCTCACAGACAGACACACTGAACTCACTGCAGCTAGCGCTGGCACTGGTCCTAGTGCCTATCCCGCTGGATAGTCTCCTGTTGGAGCGTGTCTTGACCCTCAGTGGCTCCTCAGAATCAGAGCAGTAGCCAGAGCTGTCAATTCTGGTGTATCCAATGCTGGAGGAGCTCATGCTGGGCTGCAGGGCCACAGAGGCGGCGGGGGCCAAAGGAAACAGGGGCCACACTGGGTGCCACAGTAGGAGACAGGAAGGTCTGCCTTCTCTGGACGGCCCTCACAGTTGGCGCCATGACTGACAGAGGGGGAGGGAAGGAATAGGGGGGGGAGGGGGGGGGGAGAGAAAGAGAGGGGTGGGAGGATGTTGGGAGAGAGAGAGAAAAAGAGGGTGGGGGGGAGGAGGGAAAGAGAGGGGTGGGGGAGGAGGGAGAGAGAGAAAGAGAGGGTTGGGGAGGAGGGAGAGAGAGAAAGAGAGGGTTGGGGGAGGAGGGGAGAGAGAAAGAGAGGGGTGGGGGAGGAGGGAGAGAGAGAGAAAGAGGGGTGGGGGAGGAGGGAGAAAGAGAGGGAAAGAGAGGGAAAGAGGGGTGGGGGGAGAGAGAGAGGGAAAGAGGGGTGGGGGGAGAGGGAAAGAACTTTAGTAATACATTGCATATGATTTCCAATCTACAAAAGTGTCTAACCCGGGCTAGGGACGTATCCTGTGTTGTCACAACTCCTATGATCATTGTCATGGAGTTGGCAAGACAGAACAACCATGTCCTAGGGACAAGGGGCTAGATAGGGGTTATCAATCTGGACAACCCCTAGCGCAGGCAGGAAGTGATGTCAGCAGTACCAATTAATTCATCACCGTTGATTGGCTGATTTGGCTTTTGGATTCCCTTATGGCCCCCTGTTCTCGGTTTCCTCTTGTTGAATAGCCTGAGACAGACACACACAGATACATTTTGATTTGACACACACACAGTTAACACTGTGCTAATACCACCGTAAGTGCAATAAGCATCACCGCACACACAGCGATACTCTCTCACTCACACACACACACACCTACCTAGGCACAGGGCTCTCCTTGTAGGAGACCATGGAGCCAGAGATTTCATCATCTGAGGACTGGTCATAGTACCCTACATTAAGAAGTCTCGCACTTCTTCTAGACATGACTGAGAGAAAAATAAAGAGATTGATTGATTTCAAATGCCAAGCCTAAGCAAAACCCACCTTAGGTCAGTGTTGTCATGGACAACTTCATCTTACTTAGAGCACAAAACTGGACAACAGTGGAAAATAGTGGGTCCTACAGCTAATTTGTACAAATTCCTCTTCTGATTAATTGATTCATCGTGGAAACTTTTCTCGCATTTTGTGAGTTTAAATCAGCATAGCATTACAAGATGATGCGTCGAAAAACCCCGACTAAAACCGGGCTTTTTGGATCAAATATTGCCTTCTACTTACCGGAGTCTTGTAGGCCAATTCATACAGTAATTTTTGCAGTCTTTAAACTAAGATGTAGCAGCAGAAAGTGTAACTTTGCTAATGAGCCACTGTGTTGAAAACACTGGAATTTACAGAGCGTTTACATTGTTGCGTCTATGGAACCATAGAAATAGAATGGGGGACGCAGTTTACGTCATAATCAGCTCTCCTCGCCAAACGTATTTTGATTGACAGCTCTCCAAAATCCATTTGATTGTTTCGTTCCCTAATACAAATAAATAAATAAATATCGCCACTTTTCTCTAATTTCTTGTATGTCTGCCTATTCCACACACGATGGCGACATTTAGCCACCATATAGCACATGAACACGTCATAAACCATGATATTACAGGAAATTAGCTGTAAAACTGCAACATTTTCTCTCAGCCTCATGGCAAAATGTTTAGAAATTAGCTCAGGGATTCTTGAAAGTCGGGAAAATCCTTGTCTTGCAGGGAAACTTGATTTTCTTGCATTATTTGTGTGTCATTATGTGTATTCTATGGATTTCACATGACTGGGAATACAGATACCTTAAAATCAAAAGTAGGGGCGTCGATCAGTCGATCAGAAAACAAGTCGGTATTTGTATCATGCAGCACGACTCATCTCCTTCACATAAAGTTGATCAGGCTGTTGATTGTGGCCTGTGGAATGTTGTCCCACTCCTCTTCAATGGCTGTGCGAAGTTGCTGGATATTGGCGGGAACTGGAACACGCTGTTGTACACGTCGATCCAGAGCATCCCAAACATGCTCAATGGGTGACATGTCTGGTGAGTATTCAGGCCATGGAAGAACAGGGACATTTTCAGCTTCCAGGAATTGTGTACAGATTCTTGCGACATGGAACATGAAACATGAGGTGATGGCGGCAGATAAATGGCATGACAATGGGGCTCAGGATCTCATCACGGTATCGCTGTGCATTCAAATTGCCATCGATAAAATTTAATTGTGTTCATTGTCTGTAGCTCATGCCTGCCCATACCATAACCCTACTTCCACCATGGGGCACTCTGTTCACAACATTGACATCAGCAAACCGCTCACCCACACGATGTCATACACGTGGTCTGCGTTTGTGAGGCTGGTTGGGCGTACTGCCACATTCTCTAAAACGACGTTGGAGGCGGCTTATGGTAGAGAAATTAACATTACATTCTCTGGCAACAGCTCTGGTGGACATTCCTGCAGTCAGCATGCTAATTGCACGCTCTCTCAAAACTTGAGACATCTGTGGCATTGTGTTCTGGGACAAAACTACACATTTTAGAGTGGCCTTTTATTTTCCCCAGCACCAAGTGCACCTGTGTAATGATCATGCTGTTTAATCAGCTTCTTGATATGCCACACCTGTCAGGTGGATGGGTTATCTTGGCAAAGGAGACATGCTCACTAACAGGGATGTAAACAAATTTGTGCACAACATTTTAGAGAAATAAGCTTTTTGTGCATATGGAAAGTATCTGGGATCTTTTATTTCAGCTCATGAAACATGGGACCAACACTTTACATGTTGCGTTTATATTTTTGTTCGGTTGTACATGGTCCTCTCGGATCAGCCTTTAGTATTTCTCATATTTGTAATTATGTTCCAGCCCCCTGACCATCCGCTCAAGAAGAATTCATCCCGTGGCTGAATCTAGTTGATGATCCCTGCTCTAGCCTCTGAACTCTTTGTTTTCACCTGACAGGTTGATCGTACTGTAATGAGCATAGAAATAGAACCCATGTCCAATTCTAATTCTATTTCCATGGTGATGAGGAGAGGGTCAGTGTTTGCGCCAAACAGTGTTCTTTCTCAGCACCATCAGTTCTCCCTATGTGCTCTCTTACCACTGTTAAACTGACCATATACCGTGCCTTCAGAAAGTAGTCATACCCTTCGACTTATTCCACATTTTGTTGTGTTACCCATTTACACACAATACCCCATAATGACAAAGTGAAAACATGTTTAGACATTTTTGCTAATTTATTGAAAATGAAATATAGAAATATCTCATTTACATAAGTATTCACACTGAATCAATACTTTGTAGAAGCACCTTTGGCGGAGATTACAGCTTTGAGTCGTCTTGGGTATGTCTGTACCAGCTTTGCACATCTGGAGAAAAAAATTCTCCCATTTTTCCTTGCAGATTTTCTCAAACTCTGTTAAGTTGGATGGAGAGTGGCGGTGAACAGCAATCTTTAAGTCTTTCAACAGATCTATGGGATTGAAGTCTAGGCTTTGGCTGAGCCACTCAAGGACTTTCACATTCTTGTTCTGAAGCCATTCCAGAGTTGCTTTGGCTGTATGCTTGGGGCCATTGTCCTGTTGGAAAATAAATGTTCACCCCAGTCTAAGTTTGTTTGCACTCTGAAGCAGGTTCTCATCAAGGATTTGCCTGTATTTGGGTTTATTGTCCCCTCTATCCTTACCAGTCTCCCAGTCCCTGCCGCTGAAAAGCTTCCCCATAGCATGATGCTGCCACCACCATGCTTCACGGTAGGGGTGGTGTTAGACGGGCGATGAGCTGTGCCTGGTTTTCACCAGACATGGCGCTTTGCATTCAGGCCAAACAGTTCAATTTTTATCTCATCAGACCACAGCATCTCTTGCCTTATGATCTCAGAGTCTTTCATGTGCCTTTTTGCAAACTCCAGGCGTGCTGTCATGTGCCTTTTTCTCAGGAGTGGCTTCCATCTGGCCACTCTCCCATAAAGCCCAGATTTTTAAATTGCTGTAGAGACGGTTGTCCTTCTGGCAGGGTCTCCCATCTCAGCCAAGGAACTGTGTAGTTCTGTCAGAGTGGTCATTGGGTAATTGGTCACCTTCCTGACTAAGGTCCTTCTTGCCCGGTTGCTCAGTTTGGTTGGACAGCCAGCTCTAAGCAGAGGTGTGTATACTTTTTTCAATTTCCCAATGATGGAGACTACTGAGCTCTTGGAAACTTTCAACACTCTAGAAATTGTTTTGTACCCTTCCCCAGATATATGCCTCATCACAATTATATCTCGGAGATCGACGGACAGTTCCTTGGACTGCTCTGACAGGAACTGTCAACTGTGGGACCTTATATAGACAGGTGTGTTTCTTTCTAAATCATGTCCAAACAATTGAATTGGCCACAAGTAGACTCCAATCAAGTTGTAGCGATGTCTCAAGGATGATCAAAGGAAATTGAATGCACCTGAGCTCGATTTGGAGTGTCCTAGCAAAGGGGTGTGAATACTTATGTAAATTAGATTTCTGTATTTAATTTAATACATTTCCAAAAATAAAGTAAAACATGTTTTCACTGTCAGAAAAACAACAACTTAATTTTGAATTCAGGCTGTAACAACAAAATGTGGACTAAGTCAAGGGGTATGAATACTTTCTGAAGGCACTATGGACCTCCACCCCTACCCCGACCCCGACCCTTCAGCAAATCTGTGTGTCTTGCAGCTGGGTCAATATCACCATAAGGTGCCTTTGAGACTTCCCCATTTCCCCCCCAAAAAGCTGAGATTTTCCATTGAACTTCATATTCATTGTATTAAGTATATGTTATGCTGTTAGAAATGCATATTGGTCAAGCTCCCACACTTTTTATAAATTAACTGCAAGCAGACAATTTACATGCAAACAGCTAAATATGTCCACCCTGTCATGGACAATTTCAAAGCAGAATAAATACATTGTAATTACATAGTGATTATAAAACGTACATTTTCAGAAAACTATTTAGTCACTTTCTCAACAATATATTTTAGTTTATGGGAAAAGTATTTGGATAATAATGAAATTATGGCAAACTATTTGTTTCTCGATAAAATCTGAGAGAGTTGCACTTCCTTTTCTAAATAAAATCTAACAAAAAAGATATCTGGTCAAACTTTCAAACAATACTATTTGGCCCTCATTTGTTTATAAAGGAATCACACAAAAGATTTTGCTAACTTGTGAAAATAATTTGTTTATTTTCATAGAACATGAAAATAACAGGGTGGACAGTGACATGACAGGGTGGACCCTGGGCATGACAGGGTGGACACGTTGTGAAATGTCATTGAATGGCCTCATAAATGCAAGGAACAATGCAAGAAAATGATGTAAAAAATGCCTTTTCCCATGTAGGGGGAAATTACAAGTTGAACAGACTGTTTTTGATCCACTCTACCTGCATGCAGCCACTGAATAAAGATGCCCAAAATGAGACATTAATGTGGCCTTCTAGCGTTAAACTCTGTACATCATTCTGCACAGTGAAAGTCAAACATTCAACTGTAGAACAAGAAGAAAAATGTTTTTTAAGTGGAGAACAGTTGATTTGAAAAAACAGAATATTACAGAAAGATCACTTGGACGCATCTCCAAACAGTCTCTCCCTTTCTGCAGAGACATGGCTCAGTTCTGCAGTTGCTGTTCCACATACTTCCATGCAGACACTTCAATCTGTACAGAGCTTGTTCAGAGCCTGTGGTTCTGGTATTAGGCAAAGTACCTGCCAGTCATGGTACCAACAGATGTCGTCCCGAAGACTTGGCCATTTGAACTTGTTTATGCCATGGCGTTGCATACACTTAACTTTCACACTGTGCCCTTCTGCATCCATGATGATACCTGGGTATGCTTCATTGTCATAATTAACGACGCACCACTCTCCAGTGTGCTTTACCTCAATCATTTCTGGTCTCCTAGGATTATCTGG